AGAAAATTTGTTGCGCAGGATCTGCTATTATTTTACGGATACTTTGACCCTTGCGCAGTCCTAAACCGTAAGAGATACTACATGCGCAGTAAATTTTTGCAAAGAAAGTTAACAAAGAACAAATGGATGAAGCACCAATTATAGAAGCACCTCAATTATAATGTAATTAGTTTGTACTTGTCCGTGAAAGAGTGTCCCTTACTTTTTTTTCTATGTATGTTCGCCGGTTTTTTCCTAGGTGGGTGGTGCGATCAGAACAAAGCCTTTCGCATCTTGTAGAGCCTGACTCCCCATTGGTAACATTACCAAAAATTTTTTCATTTTTCAGTTGCAAAGGATTATTGTTGCAAAAAAAAATTGAAAAACGAATATCCATGTTGTCTTTTACTTAATTATGTTCATGGCATTTACGCAGACAAAAAAAAGCCCGGAAGAACTGTCTCACAGTATCCTACACAATTCTCCCCATTCCACTAAAAAGCGTGAAATAAAATAATTTTAAGAAAAAAAATACGCCGACTTCGAAATGCACTAAAAAGTATAAAATAATTTCTATTTCCTAATGAAGTAATTTCTATTTCATTCAATCATACAATTACGTAACAGATATGAATGAAACCTATTTATTCGTTAGGTAGTATATTAAATAGTAGTATATTACTATATCCTTTAGCAATTGTAAAATTTTATGTTTAAAGAGCCGAGGTAAAAACAAATGTAAGGACTGATTTTGGGTGGTTTCTGTTACGTTACGGTGAAAGTATAGTGCCATAGCAAGTTTGATGGGCGCCCGCAGCATACATTTTGTTAAATCTTTTTATGCGGATGCGTGTGATTTTCTGTCAAAATTTTAGAGAAATAAAGGAATACATAATTAATAATTGTTAATAGTTATTAATTTGTTTGCTAGATAAGTAGGGTCATTTTTTCACGTACAACTGATTAGAAATTTGGCTACGATTGATGTTCGACGCAGTATTCATGAATGTTTTTATTATTATTTAGCCTGAAACTATATACGCCAAACTGGTTCGAAAAAGATAGCATATTACATGAAATATGAAATGTTTATAATTTAGCGTGTAGCCATATACGCTACGCATTCTTTGGAAGAGATAACGCCTCGCGTCTAATATAAGTGAAGAATTTTCTAGTAAAAAGCGAAATAATTAATTATGTGCTAGTATTTTACTACAAAAAATAAAAAGAATGAATAGAAAAGAATATTAATACACTGATCTGCATTCGTAATTATTCTATACGTGACCTATCGCGATCGCTGTTCGAGATCGTCTCTCAATTGTCGCGCACCGGCGTACAAGTAGGGAGTGGGAGAGCTCTGATCGGAGATCCCACACGAATTCGCCGCGGAATTTGAATGTTATCAATTATATAAGAAATAAGTAGAAGAGAAAAAATTATTTACAAATAAAGCGTATGCATAATAAAAATATTTTTTTAATAAAATGTACTTTTTGTAATAATTGAAATAACTTTAAATACTTTTTAACGCAAACATCGATATAATGCTAGAAAAATGTTACATACGTATAAAAATAATTTATGTGATTATTGTATTGCTATTCCTGTAAGAGATAAATATTAGAAATGTGAGCTATAAGAAATAAAATTCGCGTCCAGGCAAAAATCCAACGGATGACAATGTTTTACCACATGGCCTGCCCTTTTCAAAAGCAATGTACTAACCTTCGGGTTAATGGAGAACTTTAATAAGGAGAAAGTCTATTGTCAATGGTGTACGCAGTTGACTGAACATTTATTTCTTTCGTGTTTTCGAACGCTCCATTTTTTATGTTCAGGTATCACATATATTTTACAAAAAAATAAGGAGTACCAAAAGGAAACAATCATTATATATTTTGTTCTATGTAATATCCATTTTACAAGTGATACTTGGTTATTGTATTAAGTATTCTCTATATTTCATTGAAACAAATTATAAAACATAACATCACACAATATTACAAATTTTTTATGGTTAATTTAAAATATTAATAATTATGTTGTATTTTTTACGATAAAAAGAGTTGTTTTGAATGTAATACAAAAAGATTTTAAGGTCATCAATAATATACACACTGTAATTTCGTCACTGCAATTCTATTCCGTCGGGGTTTCCTGACCGATTGTTTCGCTTGGAAATATGGGTAAAGAGATAAAAAAAAGTGTTGTGATAACAGGATTATTATTAAGGATTACGTGATATGAAATAAAAAAGAAGAAATGTTACAAAGCAATATATGATTTATTTATCATATATTGTTCATGAGTTATAGAGAAAACTATCATGATCAGGTACAATACAGTTTTTACTTGTATATTTTGAAGTACGCGCTACGTAATATTATTGATGCAGGCGATTTCGGCCCTTTTCCAAACTGTTTAGAAAACACATGTTGCACCTCTTCATTTTTTAAAAAGTGCGTGGGGGTAAGGAAGCAACTTTTCGCACGCTTTTCGCTGCAGTCTTCATTTACAGTGTGGACATCATTCAGAGCAGATACTGATATGGCAAATTGGCCTGTTTATCGTGGTAAGTTTTCTACATTATAAACATAATTGATTACAAAACATATGATATTAAATAATAATAATACAGTATTCTCTCCGTAAATGTTAAAAAGATCTCTACCGTAAATGTTAAAATTCTATCATCGCTACTGGGGGGACCCCCCTCGAAATCAGTCATGAATGAAACACGATCAGTCGCCGAAACGACGAGGATCGAATATCGGTGAGAGACATACTAATGCAAGCAAAGAAAAAGATTGCAACTTTCTTATTTCTTACTATTGTTTCATGAAACTTTTACTGTCGTATTTATCTAGTTTTCCTGATTAAAATGACACCAAACATGATATAATTACTTTAACAATTGCGTGTATAACGAGCGCTTAAAGTTTTTAACATAAAAGAAGACTGCGAATGGAAAAGAGGGACAGAAGGTTGAAGTGTTCGGCAAATATGAAAGACTCGTGCGTGTTCTGTCTTTCAAAAATTCAAAAATTAAAATTTTTTATTTTTGGTTTTTCGTCAATGGAACTTTTACCATCGTATTTGTCTCGTTTTTATGATTAAAATGACACCAAACACGATATGATTACGATCGTAATTACTTATGTAACAAACCATAAAAGTTTCGGGCTTTCACACTTACGGCAAACTTTACATTTACGGCAGAGATTACGCAAAATTAAAAGATTATTTTGAATATGTTATTTAATTTTGCGCCGCCTCCGAAAAGGTTGAAATGTACAGTTACTCACAAAATTGAGCGTACAGTTACGTTAGCAATAAAAATTGACGGGAAAATCAATGCAAACACATATATTTCACAGTAAATACATAATATATATTTTATTCATATATTGTAACAAATAATTCGTAATTGAGTTTCTAAATAAAATAAGTAATTTGTTTATATTTAACAAAAAATGTAAAAATATGCTTGTTTTCATGACACAAAATTGAGCGTACATATACATAATTAACATTATTTATACACTTATATCGCATTATCTATATAAATTAATATTTCGTTGCGTATCCTTTGGCATTAATTATTGCTTGCAAGCGACGGGGCATAGAATGAATTAAATTTTTTATGAAATTTGGTGGAATACTTTGCCACTCTTCTCTTAATTGCTGTTTAAAATCTTCTATATTTTGAAAATGTCTGTTTCTCATTCTAAACTTCAATTCTCCCCAAACATTTTCAATTGGATTCAGGTCTGGCGATTGCGGAGGTGTTTCTAATAATTTTGGTATATTATACAACAACCATAATTGAACTAAATGACACGAATGTTTTGGGTCATTGTCTTGTTGGAAGTAATATAGTTGTGGCATTTTTAATTTTTCTGCTAATGGTTTTAAATTTTTTTTAAAAATATTCAAATATTGTATTTTGTCCATTTTTCCATCAATAAATTCAACATTTCCGGTCCCGTTTGACCCTATACACCCCCATAACATCACAGATCCTCCGCCGTGTTTAATGGTTGGACATGTATTCTTTTTATCATATTCGGTATTTGCTTTTCTCCATACGATTTGTTTCCTTCCGTCCCGTCCAAATAAATTTATTTTGGTTTCATCAGAAAATATAATATTTTCCCAAAAACTTTCGTCATAGTTAATAAACGTTTTTGCAAATTCCAAGCGCTTTTTCCTATTTGTTTGTGAAATGTACGGTTTTTTTTCTGGCAATTCGGCCGTTATACCCTTCTTTTCTTAATGTTCTACGGATTGTTTCTACTGAAATTTTTGTTTTTATGCGTGAAGAAACTTCTGATGTTAAATTTCTAATATTTGTTTGTGGATCTATTTTAATTTGTCGACAAATCGATCTCACATCGGCTGTTGTTAATATTCTTTTTCTTCCTCGCCCAGGCTTATTTCTTACTGTACCTTCATAACGAAATTTGTTTATAATTTTTTGAACTGTCGAATGTGTTCTTCCAACTATTTTTCCTACTTCACGAAAAGATTTACCTTGTAAATATAACTTAACAATAAGATTACGTGTAGAAATATCAGTCTGCACTCTTTGCTGCTCCATTGCTGGTTTACGAATAATGGATTGTGTTTTGTTATTGTTTATTTAATAAATGAAGGTAGAAAACACATTTCACGGACTTCATATTCAAATGCACCAACCTTCGTTCAATACAGATCTGTATAACTTAAAAATTTTTATGTGTACGCTCAATTTTGTGTCATGAAAACAAGCATATTTTTACATTTTTTGTTAAAAATAAACATATTACTTATTTTACTTAGAAATTCATTTACGAATTATTTGTTACAATATATGAATAAAATATATATTATGTATTTACTGTTAAATATAAGTGTTTGTATTGATTTTCCCGTCAATTTTCATTGCTAACGTAACTGTACGCTCAATTTTGTGAGTAACTGTATTTAATATAATACCTAACGAGTAAATAGGTTTCATTCATACCTGTTACGTAATTGTATGATTGAATGAAATAGAAATTACTACATTAGGAAATAGAAATTATTTTATACTTTTTAGTGCATTTCGAAGTCGGCGTATTTTTTTTCTAAAAATTATTTTATTTCACACTTTTTATCGGCCGGCAAGACGTGTTCGTAGAAACAGTAGAAAATCGGCGACTGCATGTTGACTCATACACACTACCAGAGACACGGAGCATACGTAGAATTCAATATATTAGTAACAATAGTTTTTCGCTAATAACTCGAAAACTAAAGCTTCCCCTTAATTGTGGTCTACTCCATTGCTGGTTTACGGATAATGGATTGTGTTTTGTTATTGTTTATTTAATAAATGAAGGTAGAAAACACATTTCACGGACTTCATATTCAAATGCACCAACCTTCGTTCAATACAGATCTGTATAACTTAAAAATTTTTATGTGTACGCTCAATTTTGTGTCATGAAAACAAGCATATTTTTACATTTTTTGTTAAATATAAACAAATTACTTATTTTATTTAGAAACTCAATTACGAATTATTTGTTACAATATATGAATAAAATATATATTATGTATTTACTGTTAAATATAAGTGTTTGTATTGATTTTCCCGTCAATTTTCATTGCTAACGTAACTGTACGCTCAATTTTGTGAGTAACTGTAT